GTCTCTGTGAAGACTTCTTCCATCTCAATATAATGGAAACATGTTTAAGAAAATCAGTATTTTATGTCAAGCTCAGGAATCTCTTTTCTGAGACACGGTTGGTGTGCGTGTGTGTACAGATCATTTTCTTGTTTTATCATTGATACCTCTGCAAAGTAGTGTAAAACACTATCAGATCAGAAGGGTGCTAGTTTATACCAACTTTACACTGATGTGAATTACTATACAAGCATGGCAATAATTCATGGTCCATTGTGGTCAATTTCATGGCTTGAGGATTTTAAAATTGGTCATTTCATGATTTCAGATGTTTGCACATGTAATTTCATGGTGTGGTAGCCATGGGAGTTGTGACCACAAGTGGAATCAAGTTACAAAGTTGTTGTAAAGAGCTCCCAAGATTGCCACACTCACTTCTGTGCACTGTCTTGAGAGCTGCCCAGGCTCATATTGCCCCCCGAGCCTCTCCGTTCAAGACAGCCCAGACTTATGACATTTGCCCTTCTGCTGTTCCAGCTGGGAAAGCCCAGGCATGGGACTTCTTCCTTTGCCGTTCCTGCAGCAGTTCAGGGTGATCTGGCAGGGGTTTCTGCTCTGGGGTTTCTTCTGCTCTGGGGCACCCATTTTTTCTAAGGGTTCCAAATTGGCCCGGGGTACCTGCCTTAGAATCATAGAACACTAGAACAGGAAGGGGCCTCAAGAGGTCATCGAGTCCAGTCCCCTGCCCTCACAGCAGGACCCAGTACCATCTAGACCATACCTGATAGATGTCTATCTAACCTGCTCTTAAATATCCACAACCTCCCTAGGCAATTTATTTCAGTGTTTAACCACCCTGACAGTTAGGAAGTTTTTCCTAATGTCCAACCTAAAGCTCCCTTGCTGCAGTTTAAGCCCATTGCTTCTCGCCCTATACTCAGAGTCCAAGGAGAACAATGTGTTTCCTTCCTCCTTGTAACCTTCTTTTAGATACTTGAAAACTGCTATCATGTCCTCTCTCAGTCTTCTCCTTTTCAAACTAAACAAGCTCAATTCTTTCAGTCTTCCTTCATTGGTCATGTTCTCTAGAACTTTAATCATTCTTGTTGCTCTTCTCTGGATCTTCTCCAATTTCTCCATAGCTTTCTTGAAATGTGGTGCTCAAAACTGGACACAATAGTCCAACTGAGGCCTAATCAGTGCAGAATAGAGCAGAAGAATGACATCTTGTGTCTTGCTCACAACATTCCTGTTTATGCATCCCAGAATCAGGTTTGCTTTTTTTGCAACAGCATCACACTGTTGGCTCATATTTAGCTTGTGGTCCACTATGACCCCCTAGATCCCTTTCAGCAGTACTCCTTCCTAGACAGTCACTTCCTATTCTGTATGTGTGAAATTATTGTTCCTTCCTAAGTGGAGTACTTTGCATTTGTCCTTATTAAACTTCATCCTATTTACCTCAGACCATTTCTCCAGTTTGTCCAGATCATTTTAAATTATGACCCTATCCTCCAAAGCAGTTGCAACCCCTCCCAGCTCAGTATCATCTGCAAACTTAATAAGTATACTGTCTATGCCAATATCTAAATCATTGTTGAAGATATTGAACAGAACCAGTCCCAAAACAGCTGCCTGCAGAACACCACTTGTTATGCCCTTCCAGAAGGATTGTGAACCGTTTATAACTACTCTCCTTATTCTGTTCCTGGCATGGACCACAAATCTAGGAGCCCCTGGTGGGAATGCTCCCAACAGCATGGAGGAGATCTCACCCACCTCCACATCCCAGAACCTCCTGTCCCTGCTGGGAGGGTGCTGCCTTCAGTTGTGAAATTGATAGGGCTCTAGCAATTGTTTGATTCTTCAAATTTTACTAGGAATCCATTAACAGGCTCAGCTATTATATGAACTTCTGTGAAATGGCAGTGCCATTGGCTCAGTTGGCCAAAACAAGTTAATGTAAAAATATTACCTTCTCCAATTTGCAAAGATTCTTGATACTGGTCAGTTGCAAGGCATGATAATTTTAAATACAATGTAGTTTTTTGCAATCCATAAATTATTAGGAGATATAAAGGACTGCCTGGCTTAGTGATATGGCAGCTGAATTTTGGCCTGTCACGCGGGAGGCTGAAACACTGGCAAATTTTTGCTTTGAGTGGTGTGAAATGGGTGGAAAACTTGCTCATCCAAAAAAAATTACCCTTTTAAGTGCGTTTTCTCATCTACTGACTCATGTTTGTTTTTATGCTGATCACTCTCAATATGGATGTGCGTGTCCTCCTGGAAAACAGATGCATAAAAAAATGTAGTGAGTATGACATATTTCCTGAGTAATCTTCTAAAGAGAAAATTCTTAAAACAGTTGGGTAAGGTGGTTTCACAGGGCAAAATTTTGTTTAATTCTATAGCTGAGTCACAATCAGCATGCAGTATCAACAAGAACTCTGAAAAGTAACATTCTATTTCATTTACTCTATTCATGTTACACATTCTCTCTCATTTTGTATACGCACCTCTGAGTCTGCTGTGTGGGACCAGCACTGTTATTAACATCAGGCAAACCCAGTAGTTATGTAGCACAGCTGCCAAGTGATGAGCATTTTGAATTTTGAACCTTCTCAAATCCCACAAAATTAAAAAAGGAGAGGCAAAAGAGACTAATTCATCTTTAGATGTCACTAGATGAGGAAAAGAGCCAAATACAGAATAGTTTTGAATAGATGATCAAAAGTGAATTTTGTATTTTAGGTGGATCTGGTAGCACTGCCTGTTAAGGTTACCTGATGCTTCTCAATATAAGACCCTGTTTTCAGGTAATTATATCTCTGCCAAATTTTATCCACTTAGACTGAAATTTGCCATGTCAGGGGTCTGTTCAATGTTCAGTTTTTTGGGCAAGTTTCAAAGTGGTCCATCTGATTTGGAGAAGGTGGCTAGAGAAAAATGTTTTGCTGATATTTGAAAAATTCTGGCAAGATTTTATTTAAAAAACTCTAGCACACCCATACTTTGGAACTGGGGCTTGAATTTTGGAAGGGAGAAAGTCTTTCTGTCAGGGATATCCTTTTAGGAAAATTTTAACAGAAACAATTAAATGTGGCCAAGTTATAAGCCTTTGAAATTTTGTAGTTTACTTACAAGTGTTTTTTTATTTTAACAGCTAAAAACTCCAAAGATTTTGTTCTCCTTGACCATGATTCAGCATCTCACAGCTCTAGTGCTGACCATACTGTGCATATGCATACATATTGAGTAAGTGAGCATGCTCCATCCCATCACAGCTTCTATAGGTGACCAAATTGGACATGCCCAATCCCCAAAGAGTGACTGAGTATGCTCCAGACCAGTGATACGGGGGCTCAGAATGACTTTCCTTGTAACAGCAGTTCCCAACAGCTCAAGTCTGGGAAGGGGTCAGCTACTGGAATGGAGAGCAAAGAGCCAGTCTCTCCTGTGCCCTCAGTGATCCCATCTCTTCTGATTTGAATGTTGAGGGGACAAAAGACAAGACACAATGGGGGAAAGGAAAGCAACAGACAGATAAGGGTACATGGGTAGGGGTGGGCAAAAGGTCCTCCGTGAGCTGGAACTGGCCCACCAAGTGGGTTGATATGGCCCGTGGAGGCCTTGCTGTTCCCCTGCCCCCAGGTTAATTAGGACCTGGGGCAGGGGGAAGCATGCAAAGTTACCTCAGCCCTGCTCCTGCCCTGGGAAGGAGCGCATGGTGCTTATAAGTGCCACGTGCTCCTGGCAGGGTGGGAGCAGACTTCCCATGCTCCCCACCCCCAAATCCTGATTGGTCTGAAGGTGGAGGGAACGTGCAAAGTTTTCTCCATCCTGCCCCTGTCCTGCCAGGAGTGCACAGCGCTTAGAAGCACCATGTGCTACTGGCAGGGTGGGAGGAGACTTTGTGCACTCTCCTGCCCCCAAGCTGTGATTGGCTAGGGGGTAGGAAGGGGAAGTGCGTGAAGTCTCCTCCCACTGCCAGGGACATGGGTGCACAGGGGGAACCTGAGGGGTGGCAAAGGTGCTCTCCCACCCCCAGACCAATCATTGTCTGTGGGTGGGAAAGCAGGGAAGTATCTTGGCCCTGCCCCTTCTGCTTGAGGCCCCGCCCCTTCTGGTGCAGCCTGAGGCCACTTCAAGAATTTCAAGTCAATTTGCTCGGTGGGAGGGGACACTGAGATCAGATAACGAGCTGGAGAGGGAAACAAACTGTTTTACAAAAACAAATGCATAATTTTATGAGCAAAATGGGACATTTGGAGGTTTATTTTTGTTATAGTCATCAGATTTAACAAACTAAAGCATGAATTCCCAACTGTCTCTATGCATATACATTTCCAGTTATCCTTCAATCATTTTTGTTCTTTCTGCCCTTTCTACTCAAAGTTTCCAATGTCACCTGTATTATCTAATCTATCTATCTATCTATCTATCTATCTATCTATCTATCTATCTATCTATCTATCTATCTATCTAAAAATGAAACATGGATTCTTTTCAATACATTACAAAATGATGCATTTGCCCCTTATAAATTAAAAATGTTTTAAGCAGGAATTAACCAAAATAAATTTGAAATAAATCTGTATATACGTCACAATTTTGTCTTTACATATCAATGCCAAATTTATTTGTGAAGTTAAACGATAATTCTTTACCCTGATTTGAATTTACACTACTCTCCTTTTATCCAAGTTGACAAAGTATTAGGTTTACACTCCCTGTCAGACCCTTTTACACTGCCGGAATGATGAAGAGAGGCCTTAGAGCCAATTGTGTTCTTGCTTTGTCAATTGAAAACTGCAAAATAACTGATTTTTTTGTAATCCAAGGAAAGAAGTGCCCATATTATTTTTATTCATACCTTCTTTCAATGTGTTATTTTAGCATGTGAAAGCAAGAGATTGTAATAATCAATTGTACTTGGTGTGTGGCTAGAAATATTACAATGTTATATACAATTGCAACCATACTGTAGACTACACAGTGGCCTTCAAAGAGGAAATTTTATTCAGTTTGGCTGGTAGTTTGGAGCAATTGTGTGTTGAGTAATTTTTGACTATTAAAGTAGTCTATAAATTTATAAGCTACTTAGATCCACAAAACAAGTTTGTAAATCAAAACCTGTTCCTGTTTTCCCTCCTTCAATCTTGTTTTTTTTCCTGCTGCATATTTTACATTCTGTTGAACATCTTAAATTAGTTTCCAGAGAGACGCAAAACAGCTCAATGGGAAAACTAACAAAATAATTAATGTGGCACGTAGGAAAAAAATATGTGCCCAGAAGCTGCCACTCATTTTCCTGTGCGATAGTCCAAAGCTGTACGGATAGAGGCTTGCTTTAACCTTCAAGATTCATATTTCACAGAGAGGTCTTTGAAAACCTTTCAGCTCTGTGGTGCTAGGTATTGAATATTACCTGTTCTATTCCCCTTAACTTTGATTATTCTCTTTTTGATATTCACTGGGAAATAAAATGAAGATCAAACATGAATCAAGCTACTCCTGCTGAGGTAGTATTTGCTAGCCAAGGAGTAGCAGGGTTCTATCCTGATGAATCTAAAGTCAAAAGGCCATCAGAGTGCCATTTTCTCTATACTTAAATTATGGGTATTTTGCATCTGTTATCTTTTGCAAAGGTGGTTCAAGAGACTTAGCTGATCACACAGTGTGAAGTAAACATACTCATTTTTCATTCTGTCTTCTCATGTCATGCCTCCTTATTCTCATTTTTGCCATGGTATAGTAATGCTTAAAATGCTTGAGCCATACTACCCAAATTCTAGGGGAGCTAAAATATTATTCTGAGTGCTCTGGGAAGGGTGCATTCTTGGGAATCATAATGCCTTGAATGGACACACACTGGGTAGCATTGCTACACCTACTACAAACTTACAGGATGTTCCTTCTTACACTACTCTACTGGCATTTGCTGGTGTATAAAATGGTCAAATGTCTTGTGATGTCAGAGATCCACCAAGGGCCTAGTTCTGTAAAAGCTTATAGCTGTGAGTAGCTTTACTCATGTAAGTATTGCCTTACAGGGTCCATAATACAGAGAAGCCTGTTTTTTCAGCCTTTGTTTGTAGTAGATCATAAAAGGCAGATCTCTTGGTGAAAGTTCTTCTACTAGAATTGAGTGCTGTTCATTCATATGCCTTGTCTTCACAGCACTGCCCTCCAGAATACGGGGATAATGTGTGAAGCACTTAGGGTATGTCTACACTAGCTCGTTAGTTCGAGCTAGGTAGGCAAATGAGGGCAACCGGAGTTGCAAATGAAGCCCGGGATTTAAATATCCTGGGCTTCATTTGCATGTTCCCGGGCACCGCCATTTTTAAATCCCCCTTAGTCCGAACTACCTGCCCGCGGCTAGACGTGGCAGTTAAACATTAATTCAAACTAACTCCTTAGTTCGAATTAACTGTTACTCCTCATTCCATGAGTAACAGTTAATTCGAACTAAAGAGTTAGTTCGAATTAACGTTTAACTGCCGTGTCTAGTTCAGACTAAGGGGGATTTAAAAATTGTGGCGCCATAAATCCCGGGCTTCATTTGCAACTCCGGTTGCCCTCATTTGCCTACCTAGCTCGAACTAACGAGCTAGTGTAGACAGACCCTTAGGAACTCTGCACTCTGGTTGCCTCTCATAGACCTTGCTGGCACAAACTAAAAGGTCCCTGGTTTGAATTAAAGTAATTTGTCCCAACAGGGTCTCTATGGAACAGGGTAGAGCACAACACTTAGGCTACGTAAACACTAGAGGCTTCTTGTGCAAGAAGCCTTTTGCACAAGAGTTTTTGCGCAAAAACTGATTGTGCAAGAGCATATCCACCCTTTTGGCACAAGACAGTGTCCACACTGCTGGACACTCTTCCTTAATAGATTTAATCTCATAGCACTCCTGTGAGGTAGGACAGCACTATCTACTTTTTCTTAGAAAGGGAACTAGGGGTATGTCTACACTACAGCGTTTTTTTTTTCGGAAAAACAGACATTTTTCAAAAAAACCCTTCAGTTATGTCCACACTGCAATCACGTTCTTCCAAAAGAAAATCAAAAGAACAGAGGGGTTTTTCTGACATTGGTAATTCTCATTCTACGAGGAATAGGGTTGCCAGATGGTTTAACCACAAATACCGAACACCTCCCTCCCCTTCCCCCCAAAAAAAACACCGGGGAAAAAATTCTGTTGAGGGAAAAAAAAGGGGGGGGGGATGACCAAAGCTGTTGAGAAAAAAAAAAGGACCCCAAGAGTTAAGCAAAAATAAAACAGCTTTTAAGTGCATGCAGAGTGAGAATAGGGATAGCAAGAGTGGAGTGGTGGAGCACTAAGACCCAGGGAAGGCATTGCTTCCCCTTGCTTCAGTTCTTTAGGCTTTTTGCGAGCAGCCATTTTGTTTTCTTGATGGAGCCAGAATGCAGCTTCACTGCAGAACCAGGAAAGCAGGGAGTCCTGGGGCAGCGGGGGCCGGGAGCGGGAGCTGGGCCCAGTTGCTGAGTGTGTTGTAGGATTGCCATGTGTCCAGTATTTTGGCCGCCTGGCCGGGGAAAAAAATTTCAGAAAATACTGGACATTTCAGGTGTCCGGTATTTTCTGAATATTTTTACCGGAAAGAGCTCTTTCAGAAAAAGGCATATGTGGATGGGGAAGAGGGAGTTCTTTCAAAAGAAGAGGAAAGAGGAAAAAGCACAGGTGCCCTGGTGGCCACTCCGTCCATAGCAATCACAGCTTAAATGTGAGAAAGCGTCTATTCAGTGTGGACGCTATCTTGTGAAAAAGCAGTTAGCTTTTTCGACGCGCTTCTGCAGTGTGGACACTTTCTTTCGGAAGAAGTTTTTCTGGAAGATCTCTTCTAGAAAAACTTCTTCCGAAAGAAGCCTGCAGTCTAGATGTAGCCTAAGGAAAAAGGTAGATTAAGTGGCTTTCCCCAAATCACACATGAATTGTGTGTTTGAGCCAGGAATCAAACCCAGCTCTCCTAAGCCCAGTGCCCATCTTTTAACCCTCTAACACAGTCTGTGGACTTATCTGGGGTTAGCCCCTTATAGGCCTCCCCCATTGTATTCACCTGTGCCTTCACAGATATGGACAATTGTAGCTCCCATAACTGCAGAAGTATAGGTAAATATAGTGGTGACAGCTTGCCAGGAGTTAATCCTGTTGAACCACTGCCTTCTTATTGCCCATCGCTGCTCTAGCATGTGCTGTATTTTAAGGCCACAATCTATCCCTATAGGTACCCTTTCTAACCAGACACACCACAGACTGAATACATCAGGCAATCTCTAGAATTAGAAGTATGAGCTACTGCAGGTTGAGCATTTACAGCCCTATGGCTCATCTGTAACAACTCATATCTTCATTACATTGACACAGAGGTGGAATGTGACACCTTCCTCCTCCCCTCACTGTTACAATGTTAGCAATTTCTTTAACTATTCCTGAATTGAATTCTATTGAGTTAAAATGTTTAAAAATACTACCTTGGAATAGAACTTGATTCTTTTTGGCTTTCAGTCCCATGGTGTATGAAAGCATTTGTCAGGGGTCCCATACTGCCATGCCCTTTTCAGTCTACAGTATTTTAAACTGAGAGTCTCCCAGCACGGCTGTAAATTATTCTAGTTCAGGTGGGCAATAACATAGCAGCAGTTCACCAGGGTTACCCCCCAGTGGGCTACCTCCAGTAGATTTACCTGCATGGCTACAGCTCCCATTGGCCGTGGTTCACTGATCCAGACCAATGGGAGTGGTGAGAAGCACCACAGACTGGGACACCACTTGCTGTAGCTCCCATTTCCTGGGAATGGCGATGCGCATCCGACAGAAGCTGCAATTACCGGTACCTGTGCAGGTAAATTTAATGGCGGGGGCCCCCAGGAGCTAACCCTGTATCACTGCTTGTAGGCCTCTTGATATGGTGCCACCAAACTCAGTAAGTGGCAAGATTTCAATATAGGTAAAAGTACTAATTAGAGCATCTAATGGAACATTTTGAAAAATTAAGATTATTTTGTGAAAATATTTATGATATTTAGTGTGCGTTGACGTCATTGTGCAGACAAGCCCTAAGTGCATGTTCCGAGATTTTGTTGGACCCTTTGAAAGTAAAAATAGAAAAGAAAAATGTTGAATGTCAACATTTTTTGACTCTTAAATATGTAAGGCTATGTCTAGACCGTAGGCTTCTTTTGGAAGAAGCTTTTCCAAAAGAGATCTTCTGGAAAAAACGTCTTTAGAAAGAGAGTGTCCACACAGCAAAAGCAGATTGAAAAAGTGATCTGCTTTCCTTGAAAGATAGCGTGCAATCAATGTGGATGCTATCTCACATTTAAGTTGTGATTACTATAGACAGTGTAGCCACTAGGGCACCTAAGCTTTTTCCTGGAGGCCTCTTCTTATGGGGGGGAAAAAAAGAACCCCACAATCCCTCTTCCCTGACCATACATGCTTTTTCCCCCAAAGGAGCTCTTTCAGAAAAAGGCTATTTCCTCGAAGAAAGAGGTTTACCATGGTCAGAAAATCCACCGTGTTCTTTCGACTTTCTGTCGAAAGAACGCAATTGCAGCATGGATGTAAGTGTAGTTTTTCTGGACAAACAGCTGTTATTCCGGAAAAACTCTGCAGTATAAACATACCCTCAGGCTGTGTCCACACTGCACCCCTTTTCTGGAAAAGGGATGCAGATTAGACACATCGTTATTGCAAATGAAGCGGGGATTTAAATATCCCCCGCTTCATTTGTATAAACATGGCTGCCGCTTTTTTCCGGCTCGGGGCTTTGCCAGAAAAAAGTGCCAGTCTAGACTGGGATCTTTCGGAAAATAAAGTCTTTTCCGAAAGATCCCTTATTTCTCTTAAAATCAGGAATAAGGGATCTTTTGGAAAAGGCTTTATTTTCCGAAAGATCCCCGTCTAGACTGGCGCTTTTTTCTGGCAAATCCCCGAGCCGGAAAAAAGCGGCAGCCATGTTTATACAAATGAAGCGGGGGATATTTAAATTTGCAATAACGATGTGTCTAATCTGCATCCCTTTTCCGGAAAAGGGGTGCAGTGTAGACACAGCCACCGTGATTAGTGGTTCACCATGAGGGTAATTCATATAGCTAAAGGGAATAAAACAAATAGCTGATGCAAAACCATCTCTATAGCATTTCTGTCACTCTTTGACAATTGAATGTTGAATCTTATTTACTGTTGTGCCGGGATTTGGACTATGAAGTGGATGGGTAATTATAATGCAAAATCAAGTATGTTCTCAATTTGGGGAGAAAGGGTATAATTTTATATCCTCTGTGAAAAATAACAACTAAAAATGTTGTAGAGCCAGATCAAACGCCAGCAAAATCTAAGAGGAAGAAAATACTCCTTTCAGTGTTAGCAGATTCTGGAAAGTAGAATTCCATTTTGTTTATGGTCAAAAATATGTACAGTGTAAAATCTGGTCATGAGGTTTTAGATTGAGTTGAGTAAAACCTATAAAAACCCTTAATAAAGACAGAAGGGAAAACAGCTAAAACCAGCTGTGTAGCCACAGAGCTGTGAGAACAGGAGGAGTGGCTACCCACCTGAGTACATAACCTATGCTAGTTCGGAACAAGCTAAGAAGCTCAAAACAATGTTACCACTGCAGTGCAAGCAGTGGGAGAGGCTAGCCAGGACGAGTGCATGCCTAGCTTCTTGGATGGGTATGGTTCCTCAAACTGGAAATTATATTTGCAATTACAAGTGCAGACATACCATATGTCAACTCCCCACTTTTAATACTCATCAGGACCAGGCTTGCTGGCTGTGTCTACACTGGGCCACTTATTCCAGAAAATCTGTCGCTTTTCCGGAATAAGCTGCGAGCTGTCTACACTGGCCCTTGAATTTCCGGAAAAGCAACGACGCTCTACTGTACAAAATCAGCCGCTATTCCAGAAAAACTATTCTGTTCCCGCTCGGGCATAAGTCCTTATTCCGGAACACTGTTCCGGAAAAGGGCCAGTGTAGACAGCCCAGTAGTCTTTTCCGGAAAAAAGCCCCGTTCGCGAAAATGGCAATCGGGGCTCTTTTCCGGAAAAGCTTGTCTACATTGGCCACAGATGCTTTTCCGGAAAAAGGGCTTTTCCAGAAAAGCAGCATGCCAATGTAGACGCTCCTTTTCTGGAAAAACTGAAAACGGAATAGTATTCCGTTTTAAGCATTTCCGGAAATTCATGCCAGTGTAGACACAGCCGCTGTGTTCTGGGTAGATTTTATACAAATTATAGCATTTTCAGGAATCTTGGTGGTGATGTCAATGTCTCCATTTCTTTTTAATGTATTTCTGAGAACAGGGCTGGCTCATCTCTCAGTTTACTGATGTCAGTTCTAATTCACTTATTTATTTTATTCCTGGTTATCAGTGCATATTCATTTTCTGTCTTGATGACACCACCAAACCTGGTACACATCTGGTTCATTCTGAGCATAAACATAGTTACTCTTGTGACTCACACAGCAAGGTCTTTGCTCAGGCTGCCTTTCTCTGGGACTTCTTCCTGAGCCACAAATCACCAGGAGAGACACTCTTGTGCAGTCACCATGTCTTTTTATTGCTTGTGCCAACTTCCCACCACCTTCTATTTACAGAGCTTTATTTGCCCACAGGCTAATTCAGCTACCTTTTCCTTCCAGCTAAGAAACATATTCAACCACACTCTGCCTCATTCACCTTCCCTCTGGCTGCCTTATCTAACCTGCTGGCTAATGAGCCCCACAGCTGCTTTCCATTAGCCTTTCAGGCCCGGGCTTGCTCAGCTGGCTTCCATTGTCCTTTTCAACCAGGCTGTAGTGGCAGAACTCTGGCTTAGCCAGCAGTCTGTTGTACTGAATATTCTTGGCATGCGAAGAAAAACAAAAACCTTACCAGGTTAGTGTGCACAGCATCACTATTTTGTAAATTCCTGCTTCTGAATGAGTGGTTTCTTAACCCTTCTTCATTTATAACTTCATCTTCACTGTCATTCTGAGAAATAGCAAAATTGTAAATAACACATTAGTTCAAAACCAGAATCGGGCTTCTTTCTTTAATGTAGTACTAGTTATCTATAGATGTGAAAAGCCAGTTTCTGCTCTTTCCTTTAACAAGACAACAGAGGAACAGGGTAGTTCTGTGCTCTGATACTGATCTGCACAAAGGGGCCAGTTGCAGTATTGTGACAGCGGCAGCAGTAACTGGACTCCCAGGCCTTTTAAATTGCCACCAGAGGAACCCCTCCCCTTCATTTTCATTACTGTATAGAAGGTATTACTGTATCTCCTCTTAATAAGCTTTGGAAAGGCAGTTCTCATCTGAGCACCAGCATTCATGGATCTCAGATACCAGCCCAGGGCTTTCTAGGAGTGAGTGTGTTCTAATCCACCTCCCAGTGATCTATTAAGAGAACTCAAAGCTCAGATCAGAAAAGGATGCCAGATGACTGGGCAAAACTCCAAGGATCCTAATTGGTTCCCTACTTCTATTTAAACCAAACAGAAAATCATTTTTGAAACTGGGTTGTTGTTCCCTGTTTAGGACTGCCTCCCTTGCATTACCCGCTCCTGTTGCCTGACTTTGATTTACTGGTATCCTGACCCAACCTACTACTTGACCCTGACTTCCAGTCTGCCTTCTGGCTTGTCTCAGGCTCTGATCACCCAGTAATTGAATCTGCCTGGCACCTGAAACCTGGATTGGCCTTTGGCCTGTATCAGGGCTTGTCATCACTTCCACAGAGATTGACACTTTGGCAGTCAATCTTCCAACATTTGATTTAGCCATGGGTCTAGTAAAGACCTACTAAATTGAATACCGAGGATGCCCCTGTCGACGCCAGTACTCCTCGTTTCACGAGTAAGGGAAGTCACCAGGAGCATGAGGGGCTTCCCCAGAAAATTGATGTAAGGTACATCAACTCCAGGTATGCAACTGTCATATTGAATTGAATATTTTACATCAATTTTCTTCACCAGTGTAGACGTGGCCTCAGATTCTTGTCTCCTGGCTTCTGACTTCTCCTCTGACCACTAAGACAGTCCCCCCCAAATCTCAGTCATGAAATTGTCTGGTCAGGAAGATGCTTAACCACTGCCTGAAAATTAATTCCCCAAATGCTGTAAATATTTGATAATCAAGTGGCTTGTTATAATAGTAACCATTTATAAGATTACTTTATTCGAGATCAATATATAAAAGATATTACTACACATACAGCATTGGTATCAGTAAATTATTGCATTACATAATTGAATTTAGATACAAACCATTTGTAAGTGAATATCATGAAAGAGGGCTATAGCATCTTAAGCTTTTAAGAAATAAATAATCAAAGGTTTCCATCTTTTTAGTGGAAACATGAGCTTAGATATAACAACATATTTCCCAACTATACATATTTTCTTTAAAAGGTAAACAAATGAATATTTTAGGCTATATAAAAATCGGTGTCCGTAAGAATACATTCAGAATTTTTTGTATGGGTTTCAAACTAAGATTTTTCTCTTTGAAGAGAGGAGGAGGAAGTAATGACAAAACACTCCTGGGTTCAGCTTTTGCCGCCTTGATAAATACAGAGTGACACACCGTTTTTCTTTCAGATACACAAAAAAGTCTATCTTCAGATCCCTTTCAAAGGGGGAGGCATCATGCTCTTTAAGAAGATACCCCTTGAGTGTAATTTAGCAAGATTACAATTTACGGTGTCTTCATTCACAGAACATTTTACGCAAGACAAAAAAAAAATCCCAATAGGTCATTCTAACTATATAGAAAAGTAAAGCAAAATAGAAGTTACAGACCTGCATTCTAGTATGTGCAATTGGACCTGGAAGTCATAATTACAGCTTTATGGCCATGGAGGAAGCATAAAGCTGTAATTATGCTTCTTCCTTGAAGTTTTCACACACATTCTTTTATTGGGAGAAAGTAGGGATTTCCTAGGATTTTCTTTAATAAGCTTTACATTTTATAAGCAACAAAAACATAAACATTAAGCTATTACTTTGGAAGCATCATATGTATGCAAGTAATTGTAATGGTCTTCTGAAATCCAGTTAAGGCAAAGGTAAGTTTGTAAAAATCTAAAATGATGACAAGGTATCATTTTATTAACCATTTTTGCATCAAGCTTCAAAGAAGTTTCAGAGATCATGGTAGATATGGCCCATAGAATTCATGCTTTATATTATGTATGTTCTTATGAGAAATTAGCTAGATACTTTTCTTCTCACAGGACTGCCAAACTTTTAAAATACCCATACTTCATAACTACTTGTTTTTTCTGTAGATATGATGGATTGCACAATGTATAAAAACTGGTGATCTCCCTTTCTATGGCCAAATTCTGGAATCTACATAAATAATCAGCACAGTCTCATTATCAAAATTCTCAATATGTGTTGAGCCATCTCCTGAGAATTTTGACAATCAGACAGTGCTGACTTGTAGACTCTCTGCTTCCTCCCTTTACTTGCTATGATAGTTTAGATCTGTTGGGGTTTCCTGGTAGCAAAATAGCACCTGGTTGAATGTGGAGGGTTTGTCCCATTGTGAAGTTATTCTGTAAACCCAAATGATGTCCTCATGATATCAGAAAACAGATTTCTTTGCCATAGTCTGTCTACATAGCCATGTCCTCTGAATTTGGAACCATTTGTTTCACTTCTCTTGTCCTTTCTTTACTTCTATCATACCAGTTTTGAATAAGAATATTTTAGATGTGACTCCACCGCAATCTGTTATACAAAGCCAGCACAGTTTCCGCTCTTGATTGTTTACTATTCTGTCTAGACATAGTACACACCCAAGAATTTTCCCAGATGATGAAAGATGGGCTAACATCACTGCACCAGGGTAACTACTGAAACGTTACAGATTGCTTAGGAAGGAGCTGTTATATTGTTGTTAGAGATTAGTTAGCATGACTTTGAACCTCAGTGCTTATTTAGTGTCTACATATCCAAATGATACTTAGTTGCTTTTAATGTGTAGAAATATTTGATTTGTTTACACATCATAATAGTTGCATGTCCAAATATAAGTACATAACTGCTTGTGCTTTTGTTATTGTCTGGGTGTTTAGAGACTTTTGGTTTATATTTGACCTGTAAAATTCATCTCCTCAAAGTTTCAGACATTAATTTATTCAGGTGTAAATGAAGATGTTTTATAGGGATTCATCAGATCCCCTTTTTCCCTAGCATGCTGTTCATCCTGGATTTGTTCTTTATCCTGCTTTTTCTGTTAACTAGCATGTCACTGATATTTATAAAGGTATCAATAGGCATGTTGTGTTGTGTGAGAGAATTTTCCACATCAGTAATGTGAGGTCCAAGAGTCTGGGAGACTTTCACATCAATTGTTGTCAACATATGCTGCAAAATATCAAAGCTACTGAACAAGAGAGAAATATTGATTACCTTCATATTGAATTCAGGAAAATATCCCTCGCACATACAGTGCAGAGAGATGGAAGATAAATCAATACATTTAAATTCAGTGAGTGCAAAGTGAAGATGCACAAATTGTGTCTATTAAGCCCAGCTATGTACACTCAATATTTTTAAATCAGCTGTGCAGAACAAGGCAGCTGGGCGGGTAATGTAGGCAAGGGAAGGCATTGCCTTCCCCAAACTGCCTATGCTGCCTGGGAGGGCTGAGGCTGCATCAGCCCGGATCCATGGCTTCCAACTCTCCGGCTGGTCAGGAAGCATCAGGCTTCAGGGCTGGGTGGGGCTTGGCTCCATGGTGAGAGGTTGCTGAAGGAGCATAGTTTTGGATGGAACGGGTTGAGCTTCGGGCATAAGGGGCAGAGCTGGGGCTGTGTAAGTCCATGATTCAGTGAATGGGCGGGTAAGAATGTGATGGACAGCTGAGGGGTTTGCCCGACCTAGCTTAGAGAAAACAGTAAGAAAGCTGCTCACTGTAACAGCTGACAACACTTTTGATAGACAGTAAGAAAGCTGCTCGCTGTAACAGCTGACAACACTTTTGATAGGTGGAGAAGTAAGACCAGAGGAACTAAAGCAGAAACAGAAGACACAACTCTTGATGCTGCTCATTTAAAATAAATCACAGAAAGTCATAAATATGATCCTGACTCCTTGCTCTACCCTCTGACTTGTCTTGTGTTCTCATCATCTGGCAACCTGATTCATCCTATCTCTTGACATTCTTATTGCTGTGGCATTCACCATTTATTGGTGTTTAACTCAATGTATACTTCGTATTTGCTGGTTACTTAACAAGTCAAGTGGCTTTGAATATATAGGAGTGCCTCTGACAAGTCCTCAGTATGTGCCACCTATCATAGGTCTGGGAAGGAAGAGGTCAAACTTATTAATTAGCAGCAGCTTTAATGAGAGCGCAGAGTCTTAGCATTGACTTACAGTAGTCTTCAGATTACAACCCAATTACGATGTTTGAGAGAGGAGACAGGTTAGCCCTATACAGTGGAAACTAAATTTTATTAAACAATGTTTAGAGCTTGATTGTGCCTTTAATGACAGGCTTGAGTAGGTAACAGCATGGCACAGATGTCCAGATGATTAAATTAGAGAGCTGTTTACAGGTGTGACATTAACAACATTCAAGCCTAGATGGCAAATATTGCATAGCCTCCATACATACTTATGTATGTTGCAGATATAAAGAGAGAGACACAGACACATGGGACACAGACGTTTCAACATCTGACATTAACAGTCTGTTCAATAAACACATGGCCGCTCTCTATGGTTAAACAGACATAAGAATGTACCTGTTCCTTAATTATGTGGCATTTTCCAATGAAACCATCTATTAAAAACCTGAAGACATTGACAAAAATGGTTTGTGTTAATTCGTGAGTTTTAGCAACAAGATATCTATTGAAACAAGGAATTTAGCATATGGGCTTTATAATTGAAGTGTTACAGTTGTGCTATACATCGGGGCTATGTCTACACTGGCCTGATTTTCCGGAAATGCTTTTTAACGGAAAAGTTTTC